CTTATTAAGGACAAATTTCTTATTTGATTTTGTGATAAGCAGCATTTCATGATAATCGCCCTGTATATTCGTCTTCTTGATCAAGTGCTAGCGAAAGGTCGCGTTACCGTCGATCGAATCGCGTCGCCGGCATGTCTGTCCCTAATAGCGGACTCCCATCGATCTGGCGGGAAGATAGCGAAAGGGACAGGCAACCGATGTTATCCATAGGGGTGAACGAGGATGGAGAGTACCGGCGACGAGTAAGCAGCCCTCGAAACTCACAGGTCGCTCGTAGGCTGAAATGAAATTCGAGAAAAGTATGTGATTTAAATATTGTGATTGTGATTGAAATAAGCAGTAGTAGGTAATCACGTCTCGTGATTTCTCTCCGGGACATCCTAGACGTCGTATCTCTCTTTAATTGTAACAGTTAATTAGTGTTGAGATTTTGTCACGAAACCGCCATCCGCAGGATCGACAATAGTCACCAATAGAAAAAAAGTGTCAACAGTAGAAAACGGCGAGAGATCGATACGAGAGCGCGCTATAAGTATCCAATAGCCTTCTTCTCGCTTCGACGGTATCAGTGCCGTGACTGTCGATGAAAAGACACACGGAAAAAGACAAAGAAGATTTCTTCCCGTCGCTATAGTAATAGACTATCTTGCTACACTGCAGCCATTCTCTTCCCCATTCTTCCGGAAACGTCATGTCCGAGGCGCGCAGTGAAAAAATAGACTTGCCTTTAACTGAAAAACTGTCCTTTCTTCTTTTTTAATAACTCAATCTTTAGAACCTTCTAATGATCGTTCGTGTATCGGCGCGACCGTCTTCAAAATGCTTTGCATTCAGAATTAATAAATGCGGCGATTTGATTTTAATCTTACGTCTCTCATAGGCACAGTGATTTTAGGCCATTTATCTTATGCATATCTGTCTCATATTTCGAATACGTAAAAAAATATTACGAAAAAATTTTGCTATCTATAGTAGTTTCTAAAAGAACAATCAATGGAGTTAAGAGAATTCTAAAGTTCAAATTCAATAGGATTTATACACATACGATTTAAAATAAATACATCATCGACACATCACTACTGTTATCAATATCGCACGTACACGTACACACAAATTTTCTAAATCATTGATCTTTCGTATTAGGTATCTAACAATAAGCTAGTCAATTTAACTTGTAATATTACTGCGGTAATTTAGTAAAGTTTGCGTTTCAAAACCGAAAAATCATTTCGGCGCACAGTTCAAAGGACTACACATACATACGTAGTATATAAATTCACACACAGAATTATACAAGCACTTAAAAATCCTGCTAGACCGTTAAAGGGGTTTATTCTTATTGGTTGTGTTCTCACATGTACGGTTAGATGAGAATTAATATCTAACAACAAGCCTAATTCTAAGAATTCAACATTGTTTTCAAAATTTATTTTATACGCATAAAGTGTAAAATTTGTATATAAAAAAAATATCGTTTACTTCAAAATAGAAAAGAATTTTTAAATCTATAAGGGCAGTTAGAAGAACTCTTACATGGAAAATAAAATAACTTAGTTAACTTAAAGGACAATTTACATTGCACATGCAAACAATTCCGTTTAGAATGTTACGAGTGAATTTGTCATGACATGTTTACGAATTCTGTAGCATATTGAACTCTCTCTTATCAATTTTTGCTAAATACGATTTTTATTAAAAATTTTCACATTTTACACAAGTGTTTGCGTCTATATATTTAGAATAGCAGCGTGTCATTTTGCAACCTTGCGGCGAGCAGCTTGACATTTATTAATTTCAAGTGTCGCGAAAGAATACATTTCTTCCTCAAAGAGCGAAAATATGATATAATTAGCAACAAAAATATCTACTATACATGTACAAATTCTTATGGAGGATCATATTATATCAATTTCTGCTCTACGATTTCTTGAATTAGCGTCCCTTCAATTAAAATTAAAACCTATATCCCAATTCTGTAATTTTCAATGACAGGTAATTTTGGTATCGTTATACTGCCGTTGCGCAGCTTTTTTACTATATGTATGTATAATATCTACGCAACGATAGTATATAACAATATTGACATTGTTATTAAGAATCGGGCATCTGCTTAAATCTCATCAACGATATTTATAAATTTACGTACACTGATAATAAAAAAAAAACTTGCTGTTTTAAAAAAATATTAGTTGATACAACTAAACATGAGCTGTCAAGCAAATATTTGCTTAATTTAAACAAATAAGATTTTAAATTACAAGATTTTGTTAACCTAAGTATATAAATACTTAAACTACAATAAATACTTAAATAATACCTAAAAATATTTAGTTAACAACTTTTTGTCAGTGTACCAACTCCCTAAATGACCAAGCGAATGAATTACTATAAAAATGAAAAAAGTGATATAATTATGTTCTTTATACGGATGATAATTATGTCCTTCATACTGATGAAAATAAAACTAAATATTCATCAGCACTGATGAAAATAAAACTAGGTATTTCATCAGTGTAAAAGACATAATAAAAGTGGAAAAAATTCAAAATTCTCTACACGTATCGTATTAATCTAAACAAAATAGAAACAGTCAATAATATCCGCTCGATTCTTCTAATATTGAAAGTGTTAACTTTCAATATTAAAAGAATACTCAGTCAGCGCTGTGAAATTTTAAGTTTACATCTTTGTTTTATGATTCGGCTTTTAATATGCGTGATATCCAGTCTTGAATAGATGGATGTACAGTCCTTTTCCTGATCATTACAAAAACTGACAGGGGAATTATCGCGAAGTGTCGTCTAGAACAGCACCGGGAAAAATAACGTATCGTATAAAATCTGATCGTGAGCGTGGCGTCGGATGATTAGGATGATGTCACGAGTTGTCAAGGCTTGAATCATTCTTGCAAGGTATTTAACTACCCGATGACGTCAGACACGGTTGCTGTCAGGCGTGTCAATGCGTAAATAACAATAGCATGTGTCTGTGTATAGATTATGCAAACTATTTTTACAGGTAAATATTACTTACGCAATGGCTTACTTTATTTCAACGTAAAGCGAAAATTTAATTCTCAAGTATCTTCAGTTACGCAAGCTGTGCTGCAAGTTCTTCCGATGAAAAATAATGAAAATTCTTTTTAGAAATGGTAAAAAATGTTGCTCCTGAGAGATACAACGTAAGAAACAGTCGTTATCGCGACACGCAAGATCGATTCTACGGTCACCGATTCCGAGCATCGTCCAGCTCGCGTTTTCGTTTTCCTCTCGACGCCGCCGCCGCCGCCGCTTGATCCCCGATCTCGACTCGTTTTGGTCGATTACGCAACCGACAGGATATTGCACAAGATCACGACTCCCTCGATACGTGTTTCCACGAGGCTTCGGCGCGAACGATCGTTTATACCTTTTTCGGAGGATTGGCAATTCTCGTTCGTGAGTGGATTACTTTCGTGACCTATATTAAGGCAAGCGTCTTCTGAATACCAAAGGATATACGAGTCCACGCTTTGTTTGATAAATATAAGGATACATCCGACTAAAATGCAATTGAAGATACTTTATACAATAGATATATTATAATTCAAAATATTAGCTGAGGATATATTTTTACGTAACAGGAACGGATTAAATATCGTTTAATTTCTCGGTTACTCGATTAATAATGTTCAAACACTCATAGAGATGCTCTGAATATAAGTGCTTGGCGTCGCACATTCGACGTGCCCCGATATAAATTGCAATATCACAAGTATGCATCCATCAAAACGAATAAATTCGAGCCTCGAGTAGTGAGGAGGAGCGAATAAAAGGTTAACCCACTAAAGCGTCCAGTAGTTTATTGAGCATGCGTGCGCGCAAAAGTGCCACGGTGGCCTATTTATCGTGAAAAATAAATACTAGCTTAATTCTATTCGTAAGTTGAACGCAATTTTTATCGGCGAATGACTCATCGCATTGCGCTCGAAATACGTGTCGTGTCGGAATTTTATCGTGCAAATGACGAGCGATAGTACAGACGACGAGCTACCGCTCGCGATGCGAATTTGGGTGCGATACGAATTCATCGGTAAAATATTATTATTGTTTTTATTAGAAGAATTAAAATTGGTTACTACATGTATAACGATATCACATCGACAGATTTAATTTATTTTAGCAAGGTAGAGAAAAGTTGCTGAATGGTGTCACTTTAAATATTTTTTATTATATTTCCCATTTCGTATTGATTTGTGCACAAATGAAGATTGGAAAGTGTAGCTTTATGTTTTGGACATCTACATCTTATTACATGTTTAACACTTTTAAAATTAATTTGTTATAATCTATAGAATACGCTATAAAAGTATTGTACGGTGATTGTGAGACACCCTGTATATTTTGTGTGTATTTTGTGTATATGTGTGTGTATTTTATAACAAAATAAAAAATATTAAAAATCTAGGTAAAAATATACCGATCAGGGAACTCTACTCCAATGATCTTGACCTTGACACACATTATCAAGGTTACGTGATAATATGTATAAAAATTATCCGAATGAGGTTCCTTTTTGATATATTTACCAAAATCTACTTACCTCGATTTTAAAATACGAATACCAGTCAGGACCTGAGAGATCACAATTTTATACACCACGCACAATTAAAATTTGCATTATACAGGTCCTGAGTAACCTCCGACAAGTTTTACTAGTCGATCGTTATCCGCTAAAAAATTATTAACAAAATAATTTTTATTAAAGCAACGTAATTTTTAAACATGAAATATATATTTCACTATATTTTACATATACTCTGTTATATAATTTACATAAATGCTGTTCTTTTATGCCAAAACGGAATAAAGGAGATATTTAATGCGAAGCGAGGTCCACTTCACCTCCCCTCTTCCTGCCTAGAGGAAAGTCATTCGCCTCTGGGGATATTCTAGTGGATAGTCGAACGCCCCTAAACAGGGAGAAAAGGGGGTGGACCTCGTTTCGCGTGAAAAGTTGAACGTCCCTTGGCAAGGGAGAGGTGTGGTGGTGAACCTCGCTTCCGTGGAAAGTCGGTGCCCTCTCTAAATATACTGTATCTATATATACAATACCTATGTACATATGATAGCAAATTATTAGCGAATTCGATTGGACGCATTCAGTGCGCACTGGTGTACATTAAAGCCGTATACAGGTTGACGTAAAAATGTGTGTTTAATATAAATATAGAGAAACAGATTAAACCACCAAATCTTCTATTCATTTTATTATATTATTAGGAAAAATGTGTGTATTTTATAATTCGAAATATTTTCATTTTACTTTTACACTAAAATAAAATCAGTATACAACGATTTTAATGTGGTACGCTCAATCGAATTCACTATACAGTCTTTAACATTAAAAGTTAGTCAAATTTATATATCAAAATATGTATTATATTTAAGAATATTATATTCTTCTTATTAATTTTATTCTTAATTATATATATTCGCACACATATATAAATATATACATACACATCCATACATTATCTATAACATAAACTCTTACAAAATCAATTTAGAAAGAACCAAACTGGTTAAATCTACAAAATTTACCTATTTTAAATCGTATAAAAAGAGACTCCTGAAAGACTCCTTAATTAATCTTTTAATACAGTTTAATGGAGATTGAGCAACTGAGAAAATTTGTTTGACACTCAATATGTCAATCGTTACTTTCTAGCCAATCGGATTAGGCGCTTTGTACGTGAGAATCATACGTATGCGTGCATAAGAGACGTTTTCAAGGGAGGTTGCAGCACGCTCCTGGGGGGTAGGACACGCGAGGAGGCGTGGCTATAAAAAAGCGGAAGTTAAATCGTTAAATTTCGCTTAGTTTTTTTCCATGAGTTTCGCAAGGCTGGCCTCGTGGAAAAATTTATTATTCGAGACCTGCCGATTTCCCAAATGCAAATATCAAATTTTTTAACATCTTTGCAGTAAAGTAATTATTAAAAATACTATTCCGTTTAAAGTGTCTGTATTTAGATATTAATAAAAGAAAAATATAAGATAATAATAAAGAGAAATAAAAAAATATAAGATGATATAAGGAAAAGAAAAAAAAACACACATTTTACTAATTGTAATTGCCCGATTGTAAACACGTATAACACATGTCTCTCTTTCATCTTTATACTAACACAATATGCTTCTTTTAATTTCAGCGAAGGTAGAGAAAAAGTACGTGTCTCGTTGTTAGGTCCACAACCATCGCCGGCGACGCCAGGTGTTCTCTTGCTGGAGCCGATCACGCATTCGACAGGACTCCCGATAAACATGGCCAACAATCCGACGGAACTTCTGACCACGCACACTGAGCACACCACGCCTGCCTATCACACGCAAATCAGGTAAGACGAAATCTAGTCTTACAAATAAAACCTTAACTAATCGTCAGAGATTATGAGATAAATTAGAACATCGCCACAAATACTGAAGGAAACCAATTAAGAATCAATTTGAAAAGAAATGCGCCCCACGCGACCTAATGAGCTTCTGATTCTTTCTTCATGAACGCAAAACTTACGAAATTATTGAAAAGTAAATTAATTATCAGAACAGGGGGGGGTGGGGGGAAGAGACGTTTGAAAATCATTAAAGATGGCAAACATCATCTTCAGAAGGGATATCTTGATTCCTCACCTCGTTACGATGAATTTTTTGATGATTTTTTCGAGGCATTATTTTGTCGTGAATAAAAAAATCTTAAAATTATCAGACAATAAAGGAGTAAAAAGGAGAGTAAAAATTATCAGAGATGAGAGACACTGTCTCCAGAATAATTAGCCTCCCATGCACGATTCGCGACCCTTGATGATCTTAATGGGCCGGAAGTGACGTTCTTTTCTCTCTCGGCTCCACCATGCCCCTCTATGTCTCTATCGACTACCGCACTACCAAACTGTTTACGATTATTCTCCGTGGTTACTGCCTGTTCGTGGTACAGTGTAACTATTACGCATTAAAACTGTCTCTACCGCTGTCAACATTACGACATACCGTCTGGCCCGCACACGTTACATGCAAATTCCCCCCAACGATTTCCTTTTGTTAAAAAAGAGAGATAATATAAGTTAAACAATAGGTAAAGATAGTGAGCACCTATAGTTAATAGGTGTTCACACCATATTCAATATAAATTCTAATTAATTATGTATATATATTTAATTATATTTGTACGTAACATACATATATACAACATTGATAGAATTTTGATCCAAAGTTTTTAAATTTTCTTACAAACTTTGTATAAAATCTTCAGAATAATTCAGAATCACATAATATTAATGTCTTTTTCGAAATAATTCGGATATTGTGATAAAAATTATATTTATCCCAAAACTTTGTTATCCTATGTGAATGTTATCTTTTGCGGTTATTCTTTTGCAGTATTATCTTAGCGAATCCTCGGTCCTTATGTAATTCGTCAAAATCGACGCTAAAATGGAAGAGGAAGAAGCGTCAAGAGAAGAATCGATCGAATTACTATATTCTGTTGTCAATTTAAACTTTTTTCCTACGCAACTCCAAGACCGCTATTTCATTTGTACGATTTTTGTCATACGACAAATTTTTCAAGCCTGTTGATTGGCTGTAAGATAGAGAGTTCTCTCACACATGTTGTTGTACGATAAAAACGCATAAATGAAATAGCACCTAATCTCTTGACGCTCGATTGATTGCACGGTTCTACGGCGCATTATGCTTATAAAAAATTAGTAAATAAAAACTACTACACACATTTTTACCTGCAGTGTTTGATTTGTTGATGGAAGATTCAGGTTAATGGGGGTATTATAAGCGTTATTACTCAGTAGAATGTTACGTAAAATCGTGCATATGTCGTACGAAGTCTCTAATTGCTAATGCAAGCGAACGTACGTCGTGTTTGCGACGAAATCTATCGGCATGGAATCATCGTATGCGTAAAATTTCTCAACGAATCTGTAATTTGTACAATTATAGATTTGTCGAGGAATTTGTGTATTCATATAATTCACAATACTGCAACCGTACAAAAATTAATTTAAATTGAAATTTACATTTGCATAATTTATATATATATTCCAGCGAATATTTTTGTGTTTATAGAAATTAATGAAAAAAGTTAGCTTTATACAAAATTTCTCGTTGAATATCTAAAAGTTTGAAGGATTTAATAAAATTTTTACTTCTTCTCTTTGCATGCGTGAAAGAGACATGATTAATCGATATTCATATAAGCTATTCATATGGCTATTCATATAAGTTTTATTGGACATTTTATCATGCGATTTCAATAATGTAACGAGTCTTAGGTATATCGAAACTTTGAAAGTCGAGAAAATATAAAGAAAAACTTGGATCGGAAAAAGCCCCGGAATTTGAATTTCTGTGGAGAAATCTGTGGAGACGAGAAGAATACGCAAATCTGTACCTTCGGCACCTGTACATCCAGGATGAATACACCCTTCCACCAGAGCGTTACTATTACCCGATCGCGTTTCTCACGTACACATCGCAGTTTCTTCGTCCATTCATACACACGCCTTATATCCCCGCGGTGCATATAATCGGGTTCGAGCTCAAGTTAGTTCTCCACCGCCGCCATCGCCACCACCATCACCTCCATCACCACTCTACCGCCGCCAGAGCACCACCAGAGTACCACCACCATCTCAATGCACTAGCCTCGCCAAATCGCTGATACCAACGCAGCAGCGCCCGGTACCGGCACTCCGTTCCCGATGCGCGCGAGTACCGAAGAGAAGGGAGCGCGAAAGAAGGACGCGAGTCGGGGCGCGAGAACGGAGGACGGTAGAGATCGATATAGCGTGGGTGGATGTGCAGAGGTGCGGTGAGGCCGCTGCCGCCAGTCGTGCTGTCGGCTGCATCGACGGACATTCGCGCGCGCTCTCTTTTTCTCTTTCTCTCTCTCTCTCTCTCTCTCTCTCTCCCCCCGTGTCTCTTTGTAGTATCCCTTTCTCGTTGGTCCGTCTCTCTCCCTCCTCCACTCTACAGCTATCTCCCTCGTTCCCTCCTGCCTTTTTCTCGAGCCCCCTTTCTAGCCCTTCGTGCCATCCCGCATGTCATCGAATGCAGCCGATCGGGAGCAACGTCGATCCTCAGGATCGCATCCCCGATGATAAAGTGATAACGCGGTCACAACAGTGCGATAAGGCCGATGATATGGCACAGTGAACAGTGCGGTGATTCCTGCGTGTAGATCTCTATTGATTGGGATTAATCCGATCGGGCTCGACGAGTGAGTTAGGAGGATAAATCAAGAATCATCTCTCGATCGCTTGATTTTTGAAATCTGTTCTCTCTCTCTCTCTCTCTCTCTCTCTCTCTCTCTCTCTTTCTCTCTTTATTCAACACGTGCGTGGGCGAGGATGCGTGTCACGCGCGATTTTTCTCGGGGCTGCGTTGGGAAAATTGACTGTAACTTGTTGTAATCCCCTAATGGCCACGCGATCTGACCGCAATCTGTGACGCAAAACGCGCGACCTCGCAAATAACGAATGCAGTGCTCTAGTGAAACCAGTGTTTTTCTTCTATTGCGTACTATTTTACATACTCCCCACGGAGTATGAAAATACAATCCTTAATCGCTGCAAGGTCCTTGTTGAATAAGTGGAAATCGTAGGATGCCGATTGCGAATACGCGACGAAGGACTTCGGACACGGTGCTCATGGGTCACCGTCGAATTTTTCACCTCTGCTTTTTTCGATATTTTCTTTCTCAGTGATAATTTAATCGCAAATTGGTCTCTTTGCAAAAAATTGATACGTAATTTCGCGCTCATCTGTACATACGATGTTTAATTCTCGCAAATTGTCTTATATTGGTAAAGAGACCGAAAAATATACGAAGAAAAACTCACGCGTACGAATCGGCCCTTCCTCTGTTCGAAAGAAAGAAAAATAATAAATCGCTTGCAATTATTGACTTTTCCGCGTGCCATCTTGCTTTCATCTGTATATTTCTAACGGCCTATACTTACTACGCGTCTATACTTACTACGCGTCATTTTCTCTGTTTTAGCTATGTTATATAAATTTTCTTATTTTCTTCACAATTTCGCAGCAGCTACTTCAATATTCAATCATTCCAACTGAATGTATAATGTATCTTATTCGTGGTTAAAGGTCAATGCTCGATTAGTTTTTTAAATTGGCTTCGAAATTAAAAAGTCGCAACTTTTATGAACGTACTTTCCACTTCATACCGTAGAAGCTGCGAGACTCGCGAAACGAAATTTGGAGTAATCCAAATGCGTCCAAGTCGAAGCGGAGCGTGCCAAAGATTGTGGCCGGAGAACTCTGTCTTCGGAAACCATGACCTGCCTTAGAAAAGTTTCGAACCTTACGAGATACTCTCCGTCACGATCACCTAATTGCCTAATTAACCGTAAAAACATGAGTTAACCATATTGAACAGTTGCCAAAGCGAACCTTACTGATCTTGAATTATTAATCTAATGGCGTCTAATCATATTAATTTTGTTGATCGTAAAATCACTGTGTATTAACATATCGTGGTAACCTCTTCCGTGAAGAAATAATGAATCTTAAGAACTTATAAAAAAAATTATAAATTATTATTCATATTAATTTGTAGAAATTATTTTTGATTCGTTACGATAATGAATTTTATTTTACGAGTCAGCTCTTGAAGTCTTCTACAATTATGTTCAGAGTAACCTTTGGGCGCGTAGTTTTATTGCATTTGCTTTCGAGCAACCGTCTCACGTTCATAAAGACTAAAAGCATATTTACGAGGGCGTGTCGCGCGTAAAACGATGCAACGAGACTTATCTCGAAGAAGTGAGTAGGTTGAAACAATGGCGGCGATCGTGGCGTAAATTTTTCAACGGGTCTTCTTTCTCCCGTCGCATGTGTGAGAAAAATACGCCGTCTACCACAAACTAGGTAATAATAACTCATCCATAAATGTGTGCGCGCTTCAAGCGGCGCTCGTTAATAATAAATAGATCAGAATGTACCTGTTAATATTTTCGTAAGCAATTGAGCTTTTTTTGATTACGTATTAGTACAACTTATGTTAATTTAATCAAATTACTTTATCATTATACTGACGAATCATCATTTTTTACTACTTAACGAGATCTTTCCAAACTGATTTTTCTAATTATATTGTCGAAATGTTTGAAAGTTCCAAAATTAATCAGAATGGATTGACACAGTGCGGTGTGTAGTCGAGCAGTTGAGCCTCATGACATGATTTTTGCCCTCGACCTCCTCATCTGAATGACGCTCGCTCTCTATCTCGTTGATCTTCATTAAACTTCTTCACGAGAAATTTAGTCGTGCAGGTCCTCGCGTTATCGTCAATTACCAATTACGC